CGACTGAGGTATGCCGTTCATTCATTCCGTAGCTACCTACTTACCATTGTAGTCTTCTACAGGTAGCTCCTTATAGAGTCGTTTCCCATCCACGACTGAGTCTTCTACACCCAAGCCCCCGACTTCGACATCCGATACCACAGCCGTGGGCTCTCGCTCATCTCCCTGCCGTTGCGGTCGCAACGCAACGCGCTAACGAGGGCCCCGCCCAACACCAACACCCTTCCCGGGCTTTCGGAACCAGCTGCCACGGAGCAGGGAAGACAGTCGAGGACATGGTGGGGAGAAAGAGAGAAACGTTGACGGCGCTCGGCTCCGCACCACGACCAGCGTCGGCTCACCACGCAAAGCACAACGGCTCCTCCCTCTCTAGCTCCCTCGCGATCCACCTGTCGTCATCCAATGGACGCCCTAGGCGACGAAAACGCTGGTATGTGCTTTCGCTGCTTCCGCTTCTTGCCTCCAGCTTACCGCGCTGCCAGGAACGCCTTGGATATCTGTGTCGCCGCGCCAGAGGGGGATTGGAACGCGGGAATGGAGTTCAATGGACTGCGAGCGCGTGTTTCGCTGGCTGATGGTGTGGACGCGATGGCCAACGGCGCGTCAATGCCTGTCTCAGATCTCTCCCTTTGTTGCGTTCGCTCACTCTTTTGGCTAGACGCGCTCAAAGCGCTTGGCCGTTACCCGCATCACAAACACGAGTGGAGGACGCCATGTGCTGAATGGCTGGGACAAAGTGACGGGCTCCGAATCAGCCGCCGCGAGACGTGGAGCGGGGCGAAGGTGCGTCAACGGCATTCTTTTCTGTGTTGCGGTAGGTGAACTTCCCTCGGATCTAGCTTTCCTCCTCTCTGCTTGGTCTTCGACGAGCACTATCCCCGAGTTCCCGCCCAATAACGATTCCTTCCGCCAACATTGCCTTCAATTGTCCTTGACAGCAGTCTTATCCGAGTCATATCAAGTCCGAGTCCTTCCACTTGTTACCTCGACAATAACCCGCTAGTGGTCGTGACCGCGATATGTCGACATCAATGCCAGGGCACGAGGCAAGCCTGATCCAAGCCGCTGTCTTGCTTCCTCTTGCCGCGAAAGGGAAAGAGACGGGAGGAGATTGTTCGAACAGCGTTGCCGACGCTGACCATCCTTGCAGATATCCATGTCAAACTCTTCCACCGAAACTCAAGACTTAGTGCTGGTGAGTTTGTGCACCGCTTGCTCCGCTTGTACTGCACCGGTAACTTACGAGTGGCTCGCGTTTTGAAGTTCAAATCAGCGACCAGTAGGAACTTGCGCATGGGAAATATTGATGAATGGGCTTCGCCCACGTTGTGCCCACAGTAGTAGTACATGCTGTCTTCATTGTTAAAAAGCTTGCAAACCACTGGCTGTACTGAACTTGAAGCACTTACTCCCCCATCCGCATGTACTCAGGAGACAATGCGCGCCTTCAATACGATAGCCTGATCGAAATGATTCGCAGATCGCCGGCGATTCTTCATTCAGCTTCGCATACCCACGCCTAGGGCTGCGGTGTCCACAAATGTACAGGGTATATGAAGCGGCGCTGGCGTCTCCGAGTCGGAGTCCCTCCGCCGGTGCAGATGTCCGAGTCGTCCTTCCCCAAAATCCTCGTATCCTTCACCCACGACCAACGTAAGAACTACCCGCTCCACCCATATTCTGCCTGATCCCCGCAGCCCTGGACCTCGACATAGTGCGAACGCGCTGGCGGAACCGAATCAGCGCGTTCCACCTCCGCGTGCCCCCAAACGATGTGCGCCGGACCGTGGCGAAACAGTGCGTCTCCTTATCACACACAGCGAGCGGCTCTGACATTCCCCAGACAAGGCCTCCTCGACGTAGAGCAGGTCATCGAGGCCGGCATCCTGCACTGCTACCGCCAAGGCATATCCGTCAACGAAGAAGACATCGTCGAAGCGTTTATCCAGAAGCTGATCAGCGTCGAGTGCGGCGAGAAAAAATGGCAACACCAGTCATACGCCGACCATACACTCGGAGAAGGGGATTCAGACTGACGAGACCGATGGCGAAGGCAACAGAAACCAGGGCAAGGACGAGAAGGATTAAGTGAGGGGAAAGAATATATTGTCGCTCTTGAACCACGATGTGTGCGATTCTAGTAGTATGGGACAGGTATCTTCGACTGCGTCGCCTCTCAGCCTTAGTTAGGCCCGCCAGCTGGGCTTAGCTCCTTTCGACAAAACATTAGTAAAATAATAAGCATGAGCTCCAAGAACTCACCTGCGTCATGTCCACAAACGTCGCGTATCTGGGAAATAACAGTCTCGTAAGTAGCGGTCACAGTACAGTCAATTCGCGAACCCGATATTACTCGCGAGCACTTATTCGCGTTAGAGGGTTAACGTGTGTCGCCTTTGAGTGGACCTCCGTTTTGTCGTTGTGGGACATCAATTGACAATACCTCCAGAAGAGTCTTCTGGTGAGATCGTAGGTCACAACTAAGGCGAGTAGCTCAGCGTCGAGCCCGTAAAGAGAGATACGTAACTCACCGAGGCTGGCAAGAAGCCGAATACTCCCTCGCGAACACGACATCGACAGATGCAACGACTGCGGATGAGAATCGAGAAGGTGGTTACTTTATACGCGGTCTCCGATTGAGCTGGAATGCAAACCCACTCAAATCATTCATCAGTCATGCTCCGAAGGAAGAAGAGGAAAGACGTACGTGGTTTTGGGCAACATTGGCGAGACCACGGTCCAAAGGTCGCCAGACGACAGCGGAGCAGCAGAGCCCCAGCGCGTTTCACAGCCTGAGACCACTGTTACACTTGCAGAGACTTTGACGAGAGATTATGAAGGTTGGTGCATCGGAAAGAAAGGCGTGAATGACTGGGAGGGAGGTTGCGCGCCGGCGGTGGAGATGGCAACAAGCTCGGAGAAGTTTTCTTCAGACACGAGCAGGCAGGAAAATGACCAATTGGCTGCGCTACCCGTCTCGAATCGGTGCATTGCGACCTAGTAATGCGGCAATGAAGTTAGTGGTCAAAAGAGGAGCTGAAGCGATAACGCACGCATACTGAGGCCCATTCACGCAGCATTCCAAGCACTCCACTATCCCCCGCACCCCCGCTCGCATATCACCAACTCCTTCCTCACCACCTTGGCAAAGCGAGATTCCCCCTCGCCTAGTCCCGCCGGAAGAGCCCATTCGCTGTCGTGCTGGTTCTAGGAAGTATTTCAGTCGGTATCTGCAAAGAAGCTGGATGAATGACGCACCAGGAAGGGTTTTCCCCATCGAAGATGTGTTTGACGACAGACTAGAGTCGTTGTATCAGCTCCGAGTTACTATAGCACGAACATTCGGCAGGAATAGAACACAAACACGCACAGAAACATTCCGTTCCTCCATCGTTTCCCCAAACCCTATCCAGAGCAGCGAGACCAGCCGGGGTCTCGTCCCTCGTTCTCCCCAGTCCCGCATATGGCCCCCCAGTGGGCCGTCGTCGTCTACAGCTTGTTCGTGGCAAGAGAGTGCAAAAGTAGTAGACTACTAGTAGTCGCGGGCTGCGCCAATGTCGAGGAGGCCAGGCGCCAGCGAGATACGCTGGCAGTAGAGCACGCGCTGGAGGGAGGCAAGCAGTATTATGACACCTTGAAGATAGATTAAACAACGATATGAAGAGAGAGAGAAAAGACGAGACTCACTGTGAAACCCGTCTCCACCAACTAACCGCTATCCATCCTTCTTCGGTGTCCCAATCCATCGTTATTCACGCTGAGAGTCGAGCCCGGGCTGGCCAGGATATTGTGCGCAGAGAGCGTCTGTACGAGGCGAGGGCTGTTATCGACATGGCCGTTCGTTGGCAAGAAGAAACGGTCACATGCCTCGGGACTATCTTTCGCTTCTCCACCATGATTATGCCCGGGCCTCAGGCTCTTGCCCGCCATTGCTTAACCAGCACTCTGGACTCCCGGCAGCTGACGTAGCGGAGAGCTTACACATAGATGCGTGGCACGATGGTGCGTGTATTTCATTCGCGGAGAGTGTATCTCAAATTGACAATCCGCAAGTAGGTTCGCAGCCCAGTGCAATGGGGAACTCACCGCTCTAGATCTCTCATTCGCAGTCTGGCGACGTCCGCGAAATAGCTGGAATCTGCGATGGGTGGGGGTTGTTCCAAGCACGACCGTCAGCAACATTGGAGAGGAGCTGGTAATGAAGGTGACGCTGCTGCTTTTCTACGTTACTGAGACCAACAACTTCACATCGAAAGGAGAAAAAACTGGCACCGCTCATGGCGTTTTCTACTCGCATTGCTGCACCAGCAAGACACTCATACGGACACAAGGGCACTCATTTTGCTGGCACCGACGACTGAAACATATCCGAATCCTTCCGCCCGCCCATCTCTCCCACCACGCTCGCAGCTCGTCTTCCAGTAGCATATTCTGCACTCGACCGCTCAGACTGCTTATTCTGCGAAGGTCTTCAAAAGACATTTGCCGAACGCACCCCAGCCCCGCGAAACATGCTCACAACCCTCCCAAAACCATGTCTCGAGATTTCCCTCCACATCTTACCAACATCCGACCTCCATTTTCCGACCACGACCGCTTTTTCGCCTCGCTTTCCCGGCCACGTCACGTCGGTCACTGTCACGCTTTCGTCTTTGATTTGGCGGACTCGTAACTCCAGCCACGCACAAGCTGGGGCCTCATCGACCGGACCTCCGTCTGCGCGGACATCCAACGCCTCTCCCCAAATCTTGCTGCCCGTGGTTTCGCCCGGGAAGGCTGTCGTCGGACACGATCTCGCGAATGATGCTTTCGTGCCCACACTTGGCTTTTGTGCTGCAGTAATCAATATACGCGGCGGCGGAGCTTTATCTCGTGCAAGCGCACAGCCCAATCATCATACTCCTGCAATTCATCGATCCAGAAACGGCGGGAGAATCGTGCGCGGGAGCTATCTGGGTCCCAATCTTCCCTATCGTGGTCATCTTCCCTTCGTCAAGCGTGTTTATCGCTTCTTTGCGGTCTCGAAGGTTTTACTGGCGGTACGAGCCTCCTGCTTAGCGTGCGTGGGCTACACTGACATCATATAATGACAGGTCGATTGGTGGGTGGGCCCACTGCGGCAGCTGATGGATTTGACGCTATATTACTTAGTGTGCTCGTGCATTGTCCGGGCCCTGATATCTAAGTCTATAGAAGACTGCTGGAACTCTAATTATACGTCCACTTGGGCGTCGCTCTCCTCGTATGTAAGTATTTCTCTCGCTTGGAGTAAAACGATGTTAACGGACATTCGGATAGGTATTGCTGTAGCCCCACATCAAACAAATATCTACCCGCATCGTCCGATTTAGGGCGAAATGCGATGGTTGCCTGCTACCAGTGTCCGGAAGGAGTACTACATACATAAGTAGTGGCTGGCCGCGGCGTCCAGGAACGAATTGCCAGAGTGCGGAAGCTGAGCTCTTTTAAGGACGAAACGCTCTTTAGCAGCTTAGCTCGCATTGCGGCGCTGGATTTCAACACGCGGGAGCAAGGGAGGGAGGGCGTTACTGCGAGCTCTCCAAAATGACGGGTTACCCTCCCGCTTGTGGCGTCCCAGCCATCCTCATGTTCTGGATAAATACCTGGCTGTTTGCCTGGTGTCCTTCAGTTCCTCACCGACAACTTGACCCCAATCAGTGGGTCAATAACTGCTAGCTTCCGTCTTACTGACCTCACCGTAGAATCAATACTCAACATGCAATTCACCACCCTCCTCACCTTCGTCCTGCTCGCTGCGGCCACCAACGCCGCCATCACGCTCAAGTGGCACGACGGCGCAGACTGCACGGGCACGCTCAAGGCCACGAGCCCCGGCGCCAAGGCGGGCGAGTGCATCTCCCTCACCAAGGGTGGCAGCGCGCGGAGCATCTCGTGGGACGGCAACGCCAACGGGGTCGAGCTCGAGTTCTTCGAGTCTGGTGGCAGACACGACCACTGCACCAACGGCTTCCAGGCAAGCAGCAAGAAGAAGTCAGGCTGCTCCACTGCGCCCGCTGGGTGAGTGCTTCCGCTCTCTGGGACGACACAGCAATTGACGGTGTATACTAGCTTTAACTGGGAGAGTGTCCGCCTCGTTTGAAGACCTTGATGCGCGAGATCGAGAAAGTGTACTAGTATATGTAATAGAGTAGATTGAAGATGGATAGCCATTGATTGTGAGCAAGTACACAGACCGAATAAGTGCGAGGCCGACTAAAACAGAATGGTTGTAAATTGACAATGTACAGGGACAGCGAAATCAGGGAAGGCCATGGTACAGAGGGAAGCAGGAAGTAATGAGTCGTGAAGCGACCCGCTGAGCGCATGGGCTAGCAAGGACCTTTCCTCATCCCCCGCCATCTCGACACCTCCCAAGCCTAATTTATCTCCAGGACCCGCTGCCAATCACAATGATTTCCAGCCCCAAACGACCCCAGAGGAACGACGCAGGACCAAAGCCTGGCCCAACACGTCGGAAAGTAGAGGGGCGGGTGCTCGGGCAGAACGAGGGACATATTATTGAGCTCGTGTCGCTGTCGGGATAGCAATGTACTCGATTCTAGCAAGTGACGAGGTCGTCGAAAACCGCGTCGACAAGGGCCTTCCCGTTTGAAATAGAGTCCCAAATGAATTGGTGGGCTTTGGAAGCTTGTAGAGCACCACGAGATACAGTCTATAGAGCTGTATGTAGTGCAGAAACGGAGGGGCAAAGTCGTTTCGCGGGTGTGACGTGACGAGGGTGACTTTGGGACGTGACGAGGGTGACTTTGGGAAGAAGGCGATGAGCGCCGCTGGTGTGAGCGATGCCGACAGACGTCTTATTTTGGATGGTGCTGTCGCTGAAAGAGATGAGGGATGATGTTGTGGAAGGATTATGGGGGGATTTCGGTGCCGTAAAATTGTTGGAGAAGAATGCTCCAGCAATTGTGAGCTTCGCTTGAGAGTCTTGCACTTCGTACTGCCTCCTTGCTGACCGACGAAGGAGATTAGTGCTATTCCTTGTCGAAACCGCAAGACCCACGGCTTCATCCTCGTCGTCCTTTACCGCTTGCCGCAACACGCAGGTCAACCTGCAAAAGAAGCCTTAACGGACAAAGTAAAAGCGACAGCAAAGCCACGCACCATGGTGCAATTTCTCGATAACGCGTCACTCCTCCGCACCCTTTCGCTTATGCTGTTGCGGTGGATATTCAGGTCGTCGTCCCACAGGAAGCTTCAGCGAGCCAGCAGAACCACCTGTCGCTCGGGAACAGGAGGCGGAACGTAGTGTGGGGCCGTGTTAGGCGCCGTAGCAGGGTTACAAGGAGATCTGCGACGAGTAGTCGTCAGAAGAGACAAGCAGGAAAAGGTCTTGCTTTGACGCACCAAAACGACCACCAACTCGCCATCCCACTGGTCCCCGAAGTGCTTCTTGTAAGCTATAGTCCGCGGTTATCGACTGTCGAGGCGCAGTCGCCACATCGCATACGCCAGAAACGGCTGCTGGCCTGGACGCAAAAAGCAGTCAGCGGGACATCGTGTAGCGAGGTACAACGCACCGGAGCCCTCGGCGGGTGAAGCCATGGCGGGCCCGAGTGCGTGAGCAAAGTGAGGTGCGGGCTTAGAGCAACGGAAAGGCGAGACGGTCGTTCGTGGTGGAGGAGCAGAAGAAGTGATGGTTTGTCACGTGGCAATCCGTGGTCTCTTTCGTCTGGCCCACCACCGACGTCGTCGCGCCTCTTTGGTTCTACACGATGCTTCAAGTTGCAGTAATTGTCTTTCGCGGGCCATTAGGGACTATATACTTGCTGTTCTCCAAGGCTTAAGCTCCGCGATCTGTCCAGCGGCGGCTCAAGCCCCGTTAACTTCATGAGCAGACTCTCCAGACAGCCATGCGTAGCTGTAGACAGTTCAAACGCGCAGAGCCAAAGCGCATGGACCACCGAAACACTATCCGTCCCCACCATCCGCAAATCTCAATCGCGCGACTGCCCACACGACAAAGTCCTATTCTATAGGACGTTCCTATTCCTCGCGAAAGTGAGTCCAGAGAAGGCTTCGACAAATCCACACTGATTCTCTAGATTTGTAGAAGCTTCTGGGTAGCGCGAAATCAGGTTGATAGAGGCACACGAAGGCAACTGGAAGAGCACTGTCGTTGTCTCGAATAGAGTGACGAGGTGGCAGGTGCAAGAACGGGGAAAAGCACGATAAGGTGGCGTTGGGACTGGGGATATGGGTGAAGATAGGAATGAGCGCGGAGAATGTGTTGACCATATGATCTGGTGAAGTATTCGCGCAGCTGTGGCTACCGTTCAGTCGGAAACTCTTTCGCTACAACCTGAGATGCATAGAGACGACACGAATAGGCGAGCGCTCGCGGAATTGGAAGCCAAATGCAAGCCATCTGTACGGCCGAAGAAAAGACAGTATATTTGGGAAAAGCAAAGAAGACAGAAGCCAAAGATCTTCAATTGAGTCAGCGCGAGCGGTAAGGTTGCTAAAGCACTCACCCTCGGGGCTATTTCTTCTGTTCCACCCTCTCTTGTTACGCCCCTCGGAGCCCTTCCAGAGTTCCACCCATCGCGGAAGGCAAGAGGGACAGCAGCATCGCACAACCAACAGCGAGCGCGCAATGTCCAGCAACTGAGTCAGGCGGAGGATAACGGCGTACCCCTGCCAACACAGGCGTAAAAATCGCTCATACTCTTCTCTCCCGAGTTCTGCAGTTCCTCGCAAGTGCGCTCGCACCAGCCTCCCTCCATTGTCGTTTTGCAAGCGACAGTATAAGCGTGAGACGACTCCAACGAGGTGGTATATGGTTTGTGGTTGAATTGCGAGGGAGGGCCGTAAATCGGGGAACAGAAGACGAGTAGAGGTTGAAGAGATGAGCTGCAAAGGCGGTTAGTAGGACCAAGGCAAATCGCGAGCTGAATGACGCACCTTCTAGGTTTGCCTCATCTGTCGCTCCGCGCACTGGACTTCATCGGAGCATACACCCATCTTCGACTGCATTCAACTAGCCCTCCTCCCGCGTCAAAAAACGACACGATGGGGAGTGGTCAAGGCGCTTGCTACCCATCGACAAGACAAATCCTTGGATTATGAGAGAATGAGCGTTATTTTAGAGACGAATATCTACAGAAGCCAGTGAGAGAAGGCCGGGAAGCAAGTGGAAAACGCGCACCTTGAGCGACACCAGCTCTGCTTCTGCTTCCGGAATCCAAGCCTCTTCACCCGCTCTGTCGCGTTGTCTTTCCATCGCCCACCAGCTCGTGCATTCGTTTCCCGCGGCACATTGGTGAATAGGGATGCTGTAGCTGCCGGGGTGGTTGCTTGGAATGGGTGTGAATGATAGAAAGAGGCAAGAGTGGCAACGCGTGACAACTTTCCTCTAACGTTGACCCAAACTTCTACAGCGATAATACCAACCACCAATTCACCATCTCGCCAAGGATAATAGTACTACATACAGCCTCACGCTCCCCATAACCGAAAATCGAATGCTCGACGCGCGCTACCTGGGTCCCGCCGAAGCCACTGCGTTTTTGCGTCGACTGTGCCGAATTACACCCGACTTTTTTGACAATCCTACCAAGGCTAGGCTCAGAGACGAGGCAGAGCAACTCAAAAAGCTCATCGACGAGCTGAAGACAAAGCTACAAACCCTCGAAGACCGTCTCGACGAGGTCCAGCACGACTTGTCTCGCCTCATTTACCCAGTGAACACTCTCCCCGCCGAAATTCTATGCCACATCTTTGCAGCAGCCATGTTCATTTCACCTCGAGACCGGGGTTACGTCAAACTCAACCGCCCACGCTTACGGATTACCGCCGTTTGTCGTTATTGGCGCAGCATCGCAATCGCAGACCCGCACTTGTGGACACCGACATACTACGTGGTCGATAGCGACAACCCTAAGCGCGACTTGCTATTCGAGTACTTCCTGCCACGCACCCACAGCCTCCCAATTAAATTCACCCTCAGGCTGATGGGTCGCCCGGGATCCAGCTTACCTCCCCGTTTCGTGTTTGACTCTGTTGCACGGTGGAGGGAAGCGTGCCTGATAAACATGTACTGGCCCTGCAATTGGAAGCCTTATGCGGCAACCAATCCAACAATTGATTGTCCTCAGCTGACAAAACTTACCTACGACGGAGAGGACAGAGCGATTACGCCCCACGATTTGTTAATGAATGTTCCCTGTCTCCGCGAGCTGTCCATCGGTCCCATAACCGACTTATTCACTCGCCTCTCATTTCCTGCACATCAATTGAAGAAATTGACTCTTCTTCGACGCATCGATTATCTGGAGCTTCTCCCCCTACTAGCACCACTCGTGGGCTTGGAAGAGCTCTCTATCACCATGTCGTCCTCCCATGTCATGGAAGACGAGGACTGGAGCTCGCAGCCCCCTGTACGATTGCCCTGTCTGTCGACATTGCTCGTGCGCGCGGGCAACATCCTAAAATATCTCGACTTACCAGCCCTCACAACGCTGCATCTCTTGCATTGTGATGCAGACGATGTAGCGCTTTTGAGAGCCTGCATCCTCCGATCTTCAGCGAACATAACCTCTCTGTTCTTGGCGCCGACCAACTATGGTGTTTACAACACTGCCCTGTCTCCCCTGCTGAACTCAGTCAAACACCTGACCGTAACCCTGCTCGACATGAACCCTGACGAGGCAACACAATGTTCAGCGGACTTCGCACGCCTCAATTACCTTCCCAACCTCGAGTCAATCTCCTTCACCGACAATAGACTCGGAGTAGCATCTCGGTGCACCAGCATTCGGCCTTTCCTCGAGGGGATTGCCATGAGAGCTGCAAATGCGCTGTCTAGCGGTGCTCCACACAAGATGAAGCTTACTCGGCTCGTTCTCGACTCTTGCGCGCCAGGGACGATTCCAGCTGGGGATATGCGCGATCTGCCCTACCTGCAGAGAAGGTTACGGTCAATGCTTGCTTGACAAGCCATAATTCGGTATTTCAGTGTCGCATGTACCTAAACGTATGCGGAAAGGTGGTCTGAGTCGTAAATTGAATGGATAGTAGATGACACGCCGACGATCGAGAATGTAGGATGTACGTTGGCATCCAACGCGCTATTATTTGTTCCTGGGTGATTTCACACCTCTTCTAGCTACAGAATGTCATTTCTATAGGTGGATGAACGAGATAGTCAACGCAGACCAACGACTAACTCACCGAATTCGCCCCTCCTTCCTCTGTCTCCAGCCAACACTAGCACACGCTTTCGATACGATGTCATGTCTGTAGGCGACAAATGAGGGCAAAGTAGTCAAGTCAGAGGGACTCTGCTCCTGAAGAGTCGCACGCACCACTCTGTCATCCACAGAGCTACATAATATCCCGCCGCTGGCCCTCCCCATTCGACAAACGACACACATGCTGTCCTCTTAGACCCCTCCATAAACGCGCGGGACGACGGCCTCCTGCATCGAATGGCGGGGCAGCAAGAATTGCCTAGTTGCGGAATGATACGGGGAAGATAGAGACACGGTCAATAGACCCGCAGACCCCGCGTACCCCGCGATACTTCGACGTCTTTCGCGGGGACGTCTCGCACGTGACTTCCTTTTTGGGACGCGGCCATGGAATGTGTGTGGATGGGCGGGGAGAGGGGAAGTGGATGCGAGAGATGGTATGCGCGATGTTTTGACATCGTCTTAGAGCGTTTTGAAGCTCTTTCAAAGGCGTATAAGCTGTTGGGCGAGCCATTGCAGTCGATTGAGCAGAAGGGCAGTCGCTTGTCCAGTCGTGACTGCCTCGCACTCCCTTGATACCGGAAAACACGGTGGGTGGCGAGAAGGATGAGATTTTTAACTCCGGGGTTCACTGGACAGCAACGCCGCGTTAGGGAGAAAAGACTGCAACAAGACGTGGCGGTCGCATTGTCGGATTTGACGGTGACTACAGCAGCTGGTGGCCTGAATGGGAGAGAAGAGTTTCGAGGCCCGCCGACAGCGCTCCGAAGCAGGGAGGGAGAAGAGGTCGTGGAAGGCTGCTTCAGAGTGGGTAAAAGTGGCAGCAGACACTAAAGAGTAGCAACGCGATAAGTTTTAGGCACATGGGAGCATTGATATGACTCACCGGGTAGTTATTGACGCGGAGAGAATGCTCAGAGTCCCCCATAACAGGCCGCCCTGGAAGCCATTTCGTTTATGAGGTGATTGTCGTTGTCGATAGTGTGCTTCGGTGGCTTCAGCAGCAAGTAGCCGTGGCGAAGACGCGTGCTGCGGATGTGAAATGAGTATTCAAGTGCAATACCAAGGCGGGCCAGGCGGCGGGGAGCCTTCAGAGCTAGATGCAAATGTACTTAGAAATCGAGATGTGTGAAGGCAGAGCTTGGATTCACGCACCTGGAGCCAGCGATTCCATCCTCTAAGCCACCCCTCGACCCATCAGCCCCGATTTCCCTCGTTTTACTCGTCATTATCGTCCTCGAGGATGGTTCTAAGGGGGGAAAGTGGCCATTCAGCTGGCAAGCTAACGAGCGAAGAAAGAAGAAAGAGGCAAGTACCTGAACTTCTTGCCCGCCATTCTGTCTGACTGAAGGTCGCAGGTGGGAAGGTGCAGCGCTGAGGCATGCACGCAGGGTCGAGGTAGAAGAAATCCTGGTGGTGGAGGAAGAGAGGAAGATCGGCGGGCACGTGAGTCGGCCCGATCGTCCTTGCTTCTTCTCCACGACGACCCATGCTGCGCGCGCCTCTTCCATCCCCGCTATCGCTCGGCGAGGCAGACACTAGCTGCCTCAAGGGCACAGAGCTCTACAACCCGGCCTGAAGGTGCGTCTTCCAGCACCTTCGTCGTTTGTGTCGCGGCTGACCGCACCACTCCAGCCCGCTCCCGCCTCTTCCTTCACAGTCTCGGATGCACCGGCGGGCCCATATAAGCGGGAGCCAGGGCCTGAGAATGGGAGTACACGGGACTCAGGACCCCTTTGGTATGTGAATTCTCCCTCCGGGCCACCTTTCGCGTTCTTACGGTACTTGGCCGCTGGCCTATACTAGTACCCAGATGCACCGTTTTCCGACCTGTGTTCCGACCCTTTCTCCAACGCGTACTCCGGTCTAGAGATCACTGCGCCGTGCTCTTCATGTCGGGGCTGTCTGAGGCTGCAGTGAAAGGCTGTCGGGGCATACTAGGAGAGCGCTTGGGAGTCCTGTCATGGTGCGTTTTCCCCTTCGGCCAGACGTTGTTCGCTGCTCACTATGTATTGACAGGCTTATAACCCGTCACTGCGAGAGGACGAAGACGCTATTGTAGCCCGGCGCGGAGGGGAGGAGTGGGACTCTTCGGGTGCGCGAAATTCGTTCTGTTCTCCGAGTCGTTGCCCGCAGCTGAAAATGTCTTTCAGTCACCTATCCATGCACGTCCTCCGCTTCCCTCGACAACGCCTTGTCCCGCACCCGCGCCACAATCGGCCTCGCTATCTTGAGCAGCTCGTCAAACCGAGAACACACTCTACACTCTATGCCGCCTCACGCAACCATACTATGCGAACCCTCATCCCGGCACGCGGCACGCCAACGACAAAACGGCCCCGTTCCTCCCGCCCCGATCCCTCCGCCGCCTCTGCATCGATAACAGTATACCCTCCGGCGCGCCGACAGCTTTGGCGGCGCTGCCCTGCATCCCCAAAGAGATTGCACGAGGACTTGGCTACCTCGCCTGCTGAGGCAGTGCGGCACTGTCATTCTCAAGATGGAGAACTATCCGCCCGTGAGGCGCATTTCGTCCTGCCCGGGGGTAGACGCGCTTGTGCTCGCGACAGGACTTTGTCTTCGAGAACGCTCGGGCCGGTCTGTGGGCGCTCATCGCGTGGATATGGTGTCATTTTGACCCTTCCGGTGTGTTCATAGAGTCGCAGGCTGTTGTGAGGAACCCCCGCGGCGCATGATCGCTGTTTCGACAGTGCACACGAAAACCCAGTGAAGGACGATTGACGATGACAGGGTTCGCCCCGAGTCGGAGGATAGCAGTTAGAACAAATGTTGCGGGAGTACGTGGGTTCGTTCTTTCGTTGCTCCTTCAAGTTGTTGATTCAACTCTAGAGATGCGGCTATGGATTCATCTTCAAGTTTAAAGCGTGTATCTTTCCAGAATTTCCAAGCTTGCCGCTCCTCGTCAGCTTCTGAGTGGAATTGGAGGGGCGATTATTGTTGTGCCCATTTTTCGACTCTCTGTTACGTTCTCTGTTGTTTCGCTGCTCCGAGTAATTGCGCCTTCAGGAATTCAATTGTGACTTGAATGATAAGTCAGCCGTGACGCGCCGTCTTTTCGCAACCATCCAGTGCCACGTCGCAGGGGCCCATGCTGCGTCTGAGCTCCCAGGCAGCCCACGCGGGCCATGAATCCCAACCACAAATAACCACTGAGCTTCCCGCTGACGTCCTGAACACGATCTTCGAAAAGCACTTCGAGGCGGTGCAACTCCATCCGACCGAAACTTGGGACTCGAACGGCCTCTTTGCGATGGGCACGAAAACCCGGAACGCCATGCTGTCGCGCAGCATGCAGATCCACTACCGGCTCCGCCGGGTCTGCCATGCGTGGAATGAGACGGTGCTCTCGAACAGCGCGCTGTGGACGACGATCTTTCTGAACCTGACACCGCGGCAGAAGCCAGACGCCGCGTGGCGGGCTGTCGCTGCGCATCTCGAGCGCTCGCAATCCCGCCCGCTCAGGGTAACTATCTGGGCAGAAGAGTGTGATGATGCCGCCCCGTTCGCCGAGTTGCTGAACAAGCTTTTCCAACACGCAGCGCGCTTTGTATTGCTCGATCTCATCAACATCGAAACGACTGAGTCCCTTGAAATCACCGACCTCTCCTCTCTGAAATCGTATTCCCGGTGCTCCAGCTGCAAAGCATCGTTTACTGACGGACCAAAGTTCCTCGCCGCATTACAGAAGGCGCCATTACGCCATGTCCGTATTGCAAACCCGAAGCACATCGAGGAAGTGCGGGACAGCATCACTTGGAAGGATGTTCGCTTCCTCGCCTGCAATGCAGCAGACGGGATCCTTTACTACCTAACACATCCAGCATCTCGGGCCTGTGAGGTCGAAGTCATTTCATGGTTCCAATTCAAGCCTTGGCCAACTCCAGACTTGGACATCCCTGAGACTGATGATGCCGCAGTCACCCATCAACAATGGGTAAAATCTCTAATAATCGACGGCGAATATGTGACTGGGGACATATTTGACACTTTGGAACCACTGGGATCCGAGTCAATCCAGCATTTAACAATCTACACACTGAAGACTCGACTGGAAGTTTATGGTTACGACCTGCACAACTACATCAATATCACCAAGCTTTCCTTGTATTATATCACCGACGTGCCAAAGTCCGTCCTCATCCGGTTGTTCGATGATCTGCCAGGGCTCCAAGAACTCGACATTAAGCAATGCTTATTTCTCTGTCAACACGGCGATATTATCGACCAGTTATTGGATCTGAGCCGCAACTACCGGCCAGGGAGGAAGCTCGAACAAATTCCCATACCCAACGAGGTGAAACAGATGCTCTCCCGCCTCCGGACTTTCGCGTACGAGCTTGTGCCAGGCGGCGTGACTCCGGGCAGCGGCGGCACTGGCAGGTGGGAGACCACGACTTGGACCCTCCTCGACCATATCATCATATTGCTGCGGATCTGGAGCACGATATTACCCTCCGAGCCAAAGGTTGCCAGTGCCCCGGCCCCACGCACCTTCGTCATCCGGGGCTATTCGCTGGCTTCGAGGATCGTGCAGTATCCTTTGTTCTCGCAGTGGCAGAAGACGTGGGCGGAGGAGGGCAATTTGGTCGTCGAGATGGCCCCAGATCGGCTAGGAATTTGGGACGAGTAGTCTCAGTCACACATACGAGGCCGACGGCAGGAACGAGTTATGTACAAGACACAAGACAGAGTCCTAGTTCTGAATTGCCGTACCTTGACGATTACTACGCAATGAATGATGATTTGAATGGCATTGACTCGGAACTTGGAGTTCTTCTGGAGAACTGAGCAGCCGGCGTTGCTTACTCGAAAGCTGGTGAGCAGCAGCGGTTCGCTGTAAGCTTTTTAAGAGTCTTTCAGCGCCGAGAAGTCCATAGTACACGCTGCAGCGGCAGCAGAAGAACTTGAAGTGGTGAATAATATATCTGTTGCGCCTGTCTCCGGAGATACGCGGGTTGTTGGTCATAGTGGCAAGAAGAAAAGGCGTCTGGTATAAGTAGGCATAGCTGCATTTGACGCGTGTCGAGACCAAAGAGACATTGAGACGCGTGACACTTCCTCTTTTGCTCCTCCATCTTCCATGTCGACTACCCGTTCTCGACTCGCCGCAATGCATATCCGGACGCGCAACACCTCCGAGTAGGGGTTAATACGCTCGCATCGCACAAGTATGGCCCTGACTTCGTATCTTCAAGCTCTTCTTGACAAACTCCTTGAACGCCAAAACCCAATTTCTGTCCGCCTACACACAAGTCAGAGACCACCCACTCGCCCTTGGGTGTATTCTGCGTCAATAGCAGCGGGTAGGAGCAGGTCGGGCTGGAGAACGGTGTGTTACCATTCCGTTTTCTTCCTAGCTCGCACTCACCTCCAGGTCAGAAGTGCGACGCTGGCGCCATCCCATCGTCTACTCGTGGCTTCAGTCGTATTGGCTCTCCGCCTCCTCGCCTCCACATAGCTCGGCGCCTCAGTCCTTGCACGCTCGAGCCCCACACATGTGGAATCCAGCACTACGGTCAAGCATACACGCGATACACGGCGTTTGGCAGGAAGGAGGACTACTAGAGTAGAGGGATGGGCGGGTATAGCAAGAGAGAGCTTAGTGTCGCTCGCAGGCAGGAACACAGAGATATTGTCCACCTTGTGTTTTTGCCGTTTGCTGGTGAGTCAAAAAAGATCGCACTTTCGCTCTCCAAAACTTAATCATTCATGCATTAGCAGTCCCCAGCACCATGCCCTGCACATTCCTTCCCTCGGCAGCCATATCCACATCCAGAGTATTGTTCTTACCATCAAGGCACTGCGTCGTCATGTCCAACGAGCACATCTTCACTGTGGGGTTTGCGTCGAGAGCATTGACCGTGTACCGTCTCCGAGCCTGGTTTGGAGGCAGTTTCATGGACGACGGGGCAGGTCGGCCTATCCCAACAGCCGTCATCGCCCATCTCGAGGACTAGCACGAGAACGGACCCCGACTTGCAGGACGGGGCTACATATACCCATTCCTTCAGCGTATCACCCGTCTCATCCAGACTTTCCCTTTCCGCGCCGAAACGCCTCGGAGGCCAGAAGACAATACCGGCGGCGAAAAGGCAGTCAGTATGTCTGCCTCTTGAGCTTTCTCCTTGCATTTGACGCGGTTTCAGGAACCCTCGACGAAGCAACCGTTGTTTTTGGTCATGTATGCGATACATCTTTATAGTCAACGAGGAAATGGATAGGATAGAGTAGCTGAGTCCATATAGTTTGAATGATACCGTAGAGTTAACGCAAGAGAAGAAGGCTTCGATAGGGAGGTAATAAAGAACAAGATGAGTCGGAGAGGACGTTACAGTACTTGTATTTCTGGGTCGCGGTATAGCGAGGGTAGTGGTAATAGGTCCGGAAGTGTGTCGCTAATATTCTTCTGTCGTTTGCACCACCTGAAATCTTGACCCAGTTACTAAATGTCAAGTCGAATTTGAGGCGAAGCCGACAGCGGGGGGAGCGAAGAACGGGAAGGACAGGAAGAAAGAGCCATATTGCGGGTTTGTAGCTCAGTTTCTGGATAGGCATAGCTGCATATCTTGCACGAAACTTCAATAGCAGTCAGAGGCCATGAATTCGCAAGAGAGCGGGTAGACACACCTTGAAAGAGGTACTTGGCCTCCGGACCTGTCATATCTCCATCCCATTTTCCTCGTTTGGAAGCGTTCGAAGCCTCTCCTTTTCGACAAGATCAAATATCCGCCAGATGGTCTGCGACAATTAAATTTAGTCAAAAGCGTGGAACGCGAAAGGAGAGACTTACCTGAAACTTAGCACCTTACAGCAACCACTTCCGGCTCATCGTTACACTCTCATTTCTCGCGTGTATCCACGGCCGGTTGGCAGTGACTGCGAATGAGCTCTGTTTTTCCAGGTATGGAGGCGACAGCGAGCGCGAGTTTCTGCAGATGCCCGCGCGAGCTTCGGGGAGCTTCCAGTGCCTTCCACCGCAGATAAGGAGGGAAACAACGACCTGAAACGATGAGTTTGGGGAAAAGAAAAGAGGGTCGGCAAACGGACCTTCATCCAGCACAACCTCCCTCTTTCGTCCTAGCCAACTCCCTGTTGTAACGGCACGTTGTAGCAGCTCCATAAACTACACAACCTTTGAGTATAATCGCGCCAGGGGCACAAGCACTCACCTAGCCAGGCCAACTCAAATTTGCGCCTACATTTGAAGTCATTTCAAGATTCTTTCGAGGTATAACGTCTCAGCTGGCCAAGGTTGCTGTCAAAAGCTTAGCAGAGGCGGAAACGAAGCACGAAAAGACGCACCCAGCATTCTTGTCCGACCATGCTTACTCCCTCGACCTATACCCCATCAATCTCTCCCATCGTGCATTGCGGGGCTTGCAGTCCAAGTACGCGCAGAGGATATACTGCATTAACGAGGAGTTCCGCCTCGCGCTGAGAAAAGCAGGTGTATTTGGTAAAGAATTCGCCTGCTGCCAACAAGTTTGGTGTGGCGGTCGTGAGCGTGAACGGATGCGGTAGATGTGCGGCGGGGGTTATTCGAGATAGTGAGAACGGCGCGGTTGAGCGCAAAGCGGTCTGTGCCTCTGAAACAGCAAGTGTGGTTGGGAGAAAAGACAAGAAAAGATTCGCGGTCACGTCACCATCACTTGACACCTCGCTTGGCTCAAACCACCACAGCCAGTGCTAAAACCTCTGCGCAAGAAGGAGAGAAGAGTCTCAGAAGACGGTTGGCCCACCCACACGGGCCCTCGTTGTCTTGCTGAACGCCCTTCATCTTGACACCCCTTCACGCGGACTGCAATAAACTGACAACTCGAAGAACAAGTTGAATAATACACGGCGGTAGGAGACTCGTAGTAGTAGTGCGCTTCTCATTTCTGAGCTTCAATGTGCTGACACCTACATTACGCAGCTTACTATACCCTGTTTCTACCGCCAACCTCTGTGCTATCATTCACCTTTCTTCAATCGTCACTTTTGACCTCCTCATGTCGCTGCCTCTCGTTGTGACCCGACTCGACATGCTCTCCTTATCCCATCTACTCGACCGTGACCATGTCCACCCACATGTAAAACACAGCCGAACCCCATCCTTGCCCCCGATTCTCCGGTTACCAACAGAGCTCCTCCTCGACATCCTCCAGCGCTCCGTCAATTCCAGACCGGGAAGAGACAAGGAGCCGCTGCGCATCCTGGCTAGACATCATTGGCTTGCCCTTTCCACCGTCTGCTCCAAATGGCACGACGTCATTTTGGGGACACAGATGATTTGGGCAGACATGGATATCTGGTGGCTAGACCCACGACACGAAACTTCTGCAGTTGAGCTGATCCAGCGCTCGCTGCTGCGCGCCGGGACTTCTCCGCTCCGTCTCACTGTCGATGTAGCCCACACTTACGACGCCCGAACGGGCCAGCCCATCCGACGCCAAACGTTCGCTGTTTTATGTGCCGCTTCAGAGCGTTGGCACTCGCTTACACTGCGTGTGGAGCCCGGTCAACTGGTAGACCTAGCGCCGATTCACGGGAAGCTACCTCTTCTGGAGCGACTTAAGCTATCCCGCGGCCACGATGCAGCCGACAGGCAGTTCTTCGCAGACTGTAACCTCTTCGAGTCAGCCCCGGCGCTGAGAAGCTTAACATTCGAAGACTTCCCTCCTCGGGTTGCGTGGCATCAACTCACCGAAGTGCGGCTAAACGCCACGCCGTGGCCATTCGGACACATCCACGAAGCTGTCTACAACCGGCTCGCGTTTATCGAGCACTGCTCAGCTTCGTGCAGCGTAACAGTCTGGGGCATCGAGCGTCCTTCAAGTTACCGTGAGGACCAGCAAGATCTCGCTGATTGGCCGACTCAGCCGCCCCTCACATCGCCAATCAGGTCATTTTCCCTGGCCACCTTCTCTCTATACGACGGCGAGGTCCCGTTTGCTGGCCGTATCATCCGTCTGCTCGATCTCCCTAACCTCACCGAATTCAAACTCATGTCAACACGGTCCGCTGTCAACCGCTGGGACGCAGCCGCCTTCGCCACGTTCACCAATCGCTCGCCAAACATAACCACTCTGCATATCGGCGATACCTTCATATCTCCTCCTGCGCTTCTCCAAGCGCTCCGCGAAACGCCTCTCCTTGAGGATCTTGTTGTTGAAGACATCTACCGGTGCAATTCTGACCACTTTGTGATAACCGACGATGTGCTGCACGGACTGCTTGACCCCATTCTGGTGCCGAATCTGCATCGCCTTGAAATTACATCGTTCCTTCAATTCGACCACGATCTCCTCCTCGAAGCTCTCAGACTCCGCGCGCGCGCACAGCGGGCTGCTGGTGGGACTTTTGTCTTCCGCGCTGTGGTTCCAAATCTGGCTAAAACGAAGGATCAAGCACAGTACCGCAAACGCTGGCAGGCGAATGAAGGGAGACACCGGCTTGCAGAGACGCTCAAACAGGGCTATCAAGATGGGTTGCGATTCACAATCGACGTTGATGAGGCGTAGGATGTTGGTCATTCTTACCAGTGAGATAAATAAGCAACGACTTGAAGTTTGGATGGGGATGGGACACGGGAGCGGCACCATTGTCTTGGCGTGTAGTCTGCGGGATGTTTGTACATCGGCCCGAGAAAAGCCAGCTCCATTGCCAGCTGGCGCGCTCGCAATCGTTGCTTTCGTTTTTGGTGTGCTTTTTGTTTTTTGACTTTCAGTGCTGTACCCTCCAAGGAACTTGAATCAAACCTTTGAGGCCTCTGAACCGTCATATCACCCCTTCAAGCCTTCACACATCCTTCGTACTCATGCTTTCGCTATTGTCCTATTCACGGACTGGACACGGAAAACTTTTATATCATGCTACGAACATCTAAGCACAAAAGAAAAAAGAAAGCGTGCCCAACGAGTCGGCAGAAGAACAACAGAGTATGTCCGTGTATGATAAAAAAAGGCAACCAGTATCACATCCGATCAAGCTCAAATTGACCAGCGTAGACTCCAACGAAGGCGGCCATCGGCGCGGAACAGGACGCCGGGTCTTCAGGAGACGTTTTCACTGGCGCTTCCGGGCCAACTATATAGTACGGGACTGGGCCGCGAGAGCGATGGTATGAAACCAATAGACCGCGAGGGGGATAGCCGACTGCGACCGCTGACCGCCAACCCAGCAAAAGCCAGCACGTAGTCCCCAATATATCCAGAAGTGAAAAGGACACGCATTGAGATCTTGTGGTCGATTATACCGAAAATCAGGAAGACAAGGGCCTCAACGACCAGAGGGTGGCGGAAAAGGAATTAGGGATGACGAGGACAGCATCCTTCGTAAGATGGTACGTTTGTCGAGCCCAGACTTGTACACGGAGATACAAGATCGCATGCTGAGGCGGTGACTGGTAAGACGATCGCGACAAAGGTGACGCGAAAAGACCTCGAGCTCGCCCATTTCCGATTTTGAAGCAAATAGGAGACTATAATATTAGATAGTCGCTGTCGTTGGAGGACAAAGAGCCTGAGGAGCGCGTTCAACGCGCTTTTCCATGTGGGTGTTAGTAAAGCACCCGTTGCCGCCCGCCGAATGGCGACCAGTACCCGGACTTGCCCTGACTCTTCAAGTTGTATCCTTCAATGTCCCAAACCGGTGTCAAGGAAGGCATTTCCGAGCTGCCCGTTTATGAATCTAGCACCAGATTTCCCAAATGAGCCGCTCGACAGGCTATACATCCTCCGCACATACCCATTGGGCACCTTCTCCCCCCAAAGCCATATCCGCGCCCGCACCCACGAATCAGCATGATACGCAACGAAACCGTGCCCAACAACCGCCTTGCGCCACGCATAGCCACGCCCCAGTGAATGAGTCGAAGGAAATCGATGTGGGGCAGCACCGCATGCACGCGATAGAGCAATCTGCGGCGCAGTCGTCAAGATACATCGAAAGCTTTTCGCCAAAGGTGCGGCACGTGATCTTGCCATTATGGGAAGGGATCGTCGCTGATAGCAAGCGAGTGGATGCATGGGGGTACAAAGACAGAAAAGGGGGAGGAGTGACGATTTTAGTGTGGCGAAGGGGAGAGTTGGGGTCGTAGCACGAGGAGAAAGATGGAGGTGGCGTCTCGAGAGCCTGTTTTTCGCGCAGTCGCCCATGTTAAGTTCAAGCGGGTTTTCGTGGCCACAGGACCATTGTTACGCACGTGTCTTCCCCAAGTACATGTCCCGCCCGTTTCGTCTTCCCCAACTCGGCCCCAGGCCTTTGCGCCAGAAAACGGGCGATGAAAGGGCCCATAAAGTATAAATGGAGCCGATATGGTCCCACGAGCTGGTGAAAACGGGACTGTGGGCATGTATGTGGCGGCAAAACGTATAGTAGGCAGGCGGGTCGGTGTCGTCGTTGTGCGAGGAAAGCAGCGCGCGCGGTGGGCGGCAAGTAGGATGCAAATGACGTCGAACCCCCCTCGCTGACGACCAAACTGGGAGAAATAGCAGAGAGGGGATGGGAGAAGCGGTAAACGCGCTGCTAGACGACTGGACAAAGCAGGGGCCGGTTAGCCGTGGAGAACGAGACGATGGACTTGTTTGGCGCACCAAACATCTCCTTCTTTTAACCAGAATGGGACCGACTTTGAAACGAGGCGCTCCGGCGGAATCTAGAAGCAGAAGAGTGCCTTCAGATATGGAGGACGAGACGGTACAGTCGCTCCACGCACCGGTCGCCGGCGAGCGGCCGTGCCTTCTAACGCCATACATCGCGATTCATTGGGAATTGTCCAGCATGCAAGCAATACGTGGCGTTTGGGCAGGATGCGGGGGAGGACAAGGGTGACGTGGCGGGTAGGAACAGAGAGCGCGGGGTCATCTGCGGGGAGAAAAGCTCTGGGCAGGACAGTCAGTAAAAGCGACGAATATTCCAGAAGGATTCACCAGCGCGCCACAGTCTTCTGCCCTCGGGTCTCAAGGCGGTGACCAGTGCCCGTCTATGACGATAGCTGAGCGAGAACTGGGGTGAAAACCAGTGCTAGCGGCCATATTCGTCGTGGTGGGGAAGAAGCAAGGGCAATCGGCCCGACTTGACATGTGACAACTCGCCGGCACTCTTTCCTCCTCCACCACGAGCAGGATAGACTCGAGCCTGCACACAAGCGTCGACGCTCATACTCGCAATCGACAGCCCATCATCAGATAGAACAACTGCCTATAAGCGTCAGCGCTTAGGTATCCGCCTCTTCAAGTTTCTTTGCCCGAACTTGCTGCCTCAGAAACATCCTCGATGACGATGATGGCGCAGACAACGAAGAGGAAGGTTAACCCAGAGAATGGCAGAGCTGGCTCCAGGTGCGTCGACTCCGAGCTCTGTCTCCAAGCGTTTTGAATTTCAGGTACTAGTACATGCAGGGTGTCCGGAAACGGGGGCAATATGGCACTCGAAACCATGGAATACCGGTACTCGCTGCCGAAGACACGGACACACACTGCTGGCGATGATGACCCGACAACACAGCTTCATTTCTAACAGGGACTATTTCTCGCCAAGCAACTGTGCGCCCTTCCCAACGACGACCCCCTCCAAACGACGATCCCCGTTGTCCTTCCCCGCGAATCCGACAAGTACACCACAGCACATAGCCGTCTACTCCCTTCCCTCCAAACAAGCACGGACTCTGGAGTCGGAGTCGCTGGAGACTCGTCGCATACTTACAGTCATGGCTCTCTGGGCTCCGCTAGTTGTGGGCACGACCACTGGCACTACGCGTTCTTCGCGTCGATAAGCGGGCTAAGCTTCGAGCTGTCGTTCGCTTTTGCATCGGATTCTTCATGCAAAATAGTAGGTCGTCGTCTTTTTACTCGACTCTAACTTCATTATCTGCAGTCCCCCGTTCTCGCGTCCCCTCATTGCCATCCTGTGAGTTTTTACCTTGCTATCCTCTCATATAGTAGTAATGCTGACCGCTTTCCAGGTAATGCAATTCTGGTCGGGCTGGGCCTCCCCGGCCCTCACTGCCGCATGCATACTCTGCCTGACCGCCGTCGCGTAGATCGTTCCTTCGTTTACGACTCTCCCTCTCTGAACACTTCTATAGTGCTGTTTAGTACCCGTGTACGTTTGCATATAATGTCGTCTTCGGACCCATTTGGTGGGCTCTAGCCTCTCCCGACTCCCGAGCGAGGTCTTCCCTCTATCGACTGCCAGCCCTGAGCCGCCTCCGATTGGAGCAATAACCGTTCGCTAGTCCTCACCAAGCTCGCAATAGTGATCACGATGGAATACTCGCCTGTGTACTAACTTGGCGATAACCAACAGTGTGCGAGCACAGGCCGATGCCAAATCCTCGCCGCCTCGAAACTCCAATTCGACCACAGTCTCCTTCTCCTACTAGTGCTTCAGCCGCGCGCACAGCAGACTCTAGAGTGGACCTTTCTTATTCCTATGTTGTGGTCTTCGTTGTGACAGAGGATCAAGACGAAGGTGTCGAAAGGGCCGAGAAGGAGGTCTGTCGTGCGACGCTGCTCGAAAAGGGCTGCTGTCGACACTGGACAGTCGAGATGGTTTGCGATTCGATGTCGATGGAGGGGGTAGGGTGAACTCGAACCATTTGGAGAGTAATGTGCAACGGCAAAAGTGGAGGGTGCGGGCACCGGAAGAATGACGGAGAAGAAGAATGACTCTTTGCCGTCCACGTGCCCACTGGCACCCTCTCCTTTCGTTCTCACTGTCATGCAAGACGAGTCAGATAACCACATCGGTTGGCCATTCGACTTCCAATACCAGCGGAACCACTTACCATTCTCCTTCCAGTGCTGCCTTTGGATCTGCCTTCGATGTACACTCCACTCACCCCTGCGCAAAAACAACAAATAGAAGCTTTGCTTATACACGGCCACAACGAGGAGGTTGCCCTGGAAAATGACATTGTCGCCGCCCGCGCACGCCTCCGGGAGGCGGACGCCCTGCTGGTGAAAAGGCAGCGCGACAACTCCGTCCTCAGCGCCTTCCTCGCGCCAATACACGCCGTTCCGGCCGAACTCCTGGTCGACATATTCGAGCACTGCATCCCCGCCAGCCGTCGCGATGAAGCCCCCGCTGAACATTTCACGAACGACGCGACGACAGTGCCGCTTGTGCTGATGCATGTCTGCTCGCTGTGGCGAAAGACGGTTTTGAATGCGCCGCAGCTTTGGCGCCAGCTTGTCCTCTGCGTCTACCAAAGACATTCTTCATCTGCACCCAGCCCCGAAGAATTGCTTGCTCGGTCGGGGGTCCTTCCGCTGGACGTGGTGGTGAAGCCCGGGCCGGATCGGCCCGTCTCCGAGTCAGTGCAAAAATTCAACACTGAGCCAGATAGGCTTTGCTTCAAAGTACGGTAACAACCATGATTCAGATTCGGACCGATGCTCACATTTTCCACTGTAGAATACCATTGAATTGCTTCTCAGTGCGGAGGGCTTTACTTCTCGCGTGCAGTCGCTGTCAATATCATCAGTGCCCGCAAGGTCATTTTCCGATCCGCCACCAC